GACCCTGTACAGGGTTTCCGAGGCTGTAAATCTTTACGGGAGCAGAATGCCTCATCTATCTCCCACGGAACAGCTGGTAGTTTCAAACTGCTGACCTTAAAGTTCGCAGCCCGATTCGTAACCACTACGCTACCAGAGCTCCTTTACAACCCTACAATTCTTCCATACCTTCCCAACTCCACTGTTTCCATTCAGGCATACCAATAACATGCATATAAAGTAAAAGCATTTCACTATTTTTACATTCACAAGATAATTCCTGGTGTGGCGCTGAAGGATAGGCACTGAACTGCTAACTACAAGGTCAGTGGTTCAAATCCACCAACCATGCCTCGGAAACCCTATATAGGGCTGCATGAGTCGGAACCAACTTGACAATACTTAACAATAAAAATAGATAATGAGATAGTTATGTAATCTGTTTTCAAAACATGCTAAAAATATATAAAAATTACCCCTGGCAATGCTTTGGCGACTTTCTGTACTACTACTCTAGTCTGATTTAATAAAAATTTCTCTATAATTCCATGAATTATGAAAACAACTATGACTTCCCCTCTCTTAAGAAAACAAACTTAAGTCTATACTGTCGCTCCCATTAATCCTTAAAAGGAGTCTTTGGAATACCTTACATTTAAGAAATTCAAGGCAGCCTTTGACTCCAATGAGGAAATATCAAAAGTTGACATTTTAAGAGAGTACTCAAGGAATAGCATGAAGTTAGCTGTAAAACCCTTGAACTTGATCTTTTCCTAGCATAGTATGGGGAAAGTTGTAGTGGATACTCAACTAAATTTTAATGAATATAAAAATTAATAAATTCTCTTATTCTCAGAGTCAAGAATCAATATTATCATTTTCTAAGGATTTTCTCTTGCCAGACTTCTATAAGAAAATGAGTGCTTCCCTTAATTATAAAATATATGCCTTGAATGTCCATAGCATTATTCATAACAGTGAAAAACAACCCAATTGTCTATCAACTGGTGAATGAACAGAAAAAATGTGACATATCCATACATTATGTATTGTGTATATCTGTGACTATATATACACATACACACATGAATTATAGTCATAAATATACACATACACAGGAGCAGTTCTTGCTTTGTAGCTACACTAACTACAATATCTCTAACAAAACACTTGAAATTTTAGTAACAAAAGTATATGTTTTTGGAGAACAAACAAGATGGCGGATTGGGCAGACGTATAGCAGAGAGCTCCGCCAACAACAACATGGAATACCTGACCAAGCAGGCTCAGGGGCTGGTCCCAGAACTCTGAACCACATATAAAGGAATACTTAGAAGGTTGGAAGGCTCACAGCTGGGGGAATTTGTGGCAGAAGCA